AAAATTTGTCAGAAGTACAGGAGAAAATGAAAAAGCAATATGATGAGCATTGTCAAGCTAGAGAATTTAAGCCTGGAGATAGGGTTGTAGCACTTATACCCCTGTATAGAAATTCCCTTCAAGCTAAATATGAGGGCCCATTCCCTATACCGGTAGTTAAGAAATTAAATGACCTCAACTATGTCATAGCGACTCCAGATAAGAGAAAATTGGAGAGTTTGATTCATATCAACAGGTTGAAACTGTATTTTGGTAGGAGTGAAGTGGTTTGTTCGGTAACAGGAGAGGAGGTGGGTGGTCCCAGACACTGATTTCCAAGTGGATATCCCCATAAAAATCTGTAATTCCAGTATATTGTGTGACCCTACCTCTAAAGTATCCCATCTTTCACAACAGCAGTCTCAGGATGTGGTGCAACTGCTGCAGGAGTTCAAGCCACTCTTCGACGATGTGCCATGCCAGTGTTCTCTGCTGGAGCACGACCTGGTACTGCTGCCTGACACATCTCCCATCAAGCAAGCACCCTACCGAATGAGCCCTGATAAGCGGGAGAAGCTGAAGCAGGAGGTGGAGTATCTACTGGAACATGACCTAGTGGAGAGGAGCAGTAGTGCATGGGTGTCACCCTGTGTGCTGGTGCCTAAACCCGACGGAAGTGTCCGCATGTGTACTGACTACAGGAAGGTCAACCTGGTGACACGTGCTGATGCATATCCATTGCTGCCGCGCATCGACGACATCATCGATAGTGTGGGTCAAGCATCATTTGTCACCAAGCTGGATCTTCTCAAAGGCTACTACCAAATCAAACTCTCGGAAGAAGCAAAGCAGATTTCAGCTTTTGTCACTGCGGAGGGGCTGTGGCAATACAAAGTTATGCCCTTCGGCCTCAAAGGAGCACCAGCAACATTTCAGCGAGCGATGCATATAGTGATGTCAGGCCTGCCTGGAGTGTACGCCTATCTAGATGATCTGGTCATCATCAGTGACACATGGGTACAACACATTGGCCGACTCCGTGAACTCTTCAATCGTCTAGCAGAGTTCAGCTTCACCGTAAACCTACCCAAGAGTGAATTCGGACATGCCACCTTAATCTTCCTTGGTCATATCATTGGACAAGGGAAAATTGCTCCAATTGATGCCAAGGTTGTCGCTATTCTCAGTCTACCCGCACCTCACAATCGAAAGGCTCTCAGAAGATTTCTCGGGATGGTTGGATTCTACAGGAGGTTTTGTCAAAATTTTGCCAGAGTGGTCACTCCCATGACAGATTTGGTCAGTCCAAAAAGAAAGTTTGTGTGGACTGATGATTCGAAAAGGTTCATGGGTTGTTGGCAACGGCACCTGTACTACAACTCCCAGATTTTAAGAAACAATTTGTGATACAATCGGATGCGTGTGACACAGGAGTTGGTGCTGTTTTAATGCAAAAAGGAAAAGATGGAATATTGCACCCGAACTGTTATTTCTCGGCCAAACTGAAAAAGCATCAACGTGGATATGCCACAATAGAAAAAGAAGCATTGGCCCTTTTGTTAGCTCTGGAAAAGTTTGAGGTGTATGTAAGTGGATCACCTTACCCAGTGATAGTTTATACAGATCATAATCCACTTCAGTTTGTTCATAATATGAGAAATAAGAATCAAAGACTGTTACGGTGGTCATTAGCTCTTCAACCCAATAATATAGAAATCAAACACATAAAGGGCTGCGATAATATTATTGCCGACACTCTATCCCGTGTTGAGTAAAAGTTTATTCAGAGCTTCTTGAACTTTTAAATTAAGGGGGAGATATTACGAGTGAGTATAATATGTTTCTAGTGGTATACCATGTAAACCTTGCTCGACTTTTATAACACCAAGTAAAGTATTATTTGTGAAAGATTATTGTTAATCATATTTTGGAGTTCCACGGAAAATAACAGTTATTTGTGAGGTTTCGTGTGGTGGATAGACCACGCTGTTCATCGTAGTTTCTAGACTAAATAAGTCTTTACCTTTGTGTTCATTATTTTGTCACTCGGTTGAGTCATTTATTTGATCAGATTTAATTTGTATTTATTTATTTTTGTACATACGGTTATACTTATAGTTTGTTTATTTGTTAATATATTCTGTTATTAAACTACTGCATGTATTTCAATATACCCCATAGTAATGAGGTGATAATTTGGTGGGATCTATTCCTGGACCTATAGTACAATGTGTAATTTGTGAATTTGTGATATTGTTACACCCTTAAGAGGCCCAAGGGTCGTAACAGTAAGGCATGGGTGACAAGACAGCTCTTTAATGAATGGGCTGTTGAAGTGTTTTGCCCTTCTGTCAAGAGCTACCTAATAAACTCCCTTTAAAGGCTCTTCTCCTCATGGATAATGCTCCCGGTCATGACCCTGAACTTGCAAGAACTTTGGAGTATCAATTTGACTTTGTGAAAGAGTTGTTTTTGCCTCCCAACACTACACCAATCATACAGCCAATGGACCAGAATGTGAACAGCAACTTCAAGAAGTTGTACATGAAGAAAATGTTTAGGTGGTGTCATCAGGCAACTTCCAATGATCCTGAACTAACACTGAAACAGTTCTGGAAGACACAATTCAACATCCTGGAAGCTGTAAAATTGATTGTGTCATCATGGCAAGAAGTCTCCACTAGATCCCTCAATTCTTCATGGAAAGCACTGTGGCCATCAGTAGTCCATGATTTTTAGGGATTTCAGGATGACACAGAGTTGGACCAGGAGATTGTGTCCATTGGTCAGTCATTGGGCCTTGAAGTGGAAGAGGATGATGTCGAAGAGCTTGTGATGTCTCATGAGGAGGAACTTACTCCTGATGACTTGAAACAACGGGATGAGATGTTAGAGGCTGACAGTGGTGAGGAGGAAATGGAAAGTGATGACCATATGTCAACTAAAGAGTTGAAAGATGTGATTTACCACTGAGAGAAGTTCAGGGAACTGGCTTCAAAGCACCCAGATGTGGAAAAATCTAAACTAACTTTGTGTCATGTTGAGGACACAATGGTCTCCTTCTTTAAACATAAGTTAATGGTGAGGAGGAGAGATGCCCTACAGACCACAATTGACACTTTCTTCAGTAAAAGGCAGAGGGAACAAGATGCTATCCCTCAGCCTTCCACTTCAAGGGGAGAGGATGTTTATGGTGGAGAATCTGTCAGTCCAGAGGTTCTTGACATTTTCATGGAAGGTGACTCACCTTCCAAGAAGCAGTAAAATGCTTCTCCTCCACCTCCACTTCCTTCTCTTCTCCCTTCTCCTCCTCCACCTCCCACTTCAAATTCACATCAGCATCATCATCCAGGAGCCTTCTACATACACACCTCAAAGTAAGTGTCAATTTCTAACATTTTTGTTGAATTTAGGCAATTTTCGGTGAGCTGGAACCAATTACCCAAAAACCCATTGAAACAATGTTTTTGGTTAACGAGATTTTCGGTTAACGAGCAACCTGCTGGAACGGATTGTGCACGTTAACCGAGGGACCACTGTACATACAGGTACATTGTTTCTCACTCTCGATTTTTTTTTCATTTTTGCATTTCTTTATGGTTCTTTATTACTATTATTATTATTATTAGCATTATTAATATTACTACATTATCGCCCCCCAGGCCCTGATGTGGGTCAGTGACCTGTGCCCGGGTGGGCTAATCCCCATAAAAGTAAAATAAAATAATTTTTTTTAGGGGTTCGGGATTGGCGGTTAATCCGAAAGTCGGTTAATCGAGGTTTTACTGTGTGCATATATATATATATATATATATATATATATATATATATATATATATATATATATATATATATATATATATATATATATATATATATATATATATATAATTGTTAAAATGGCTAGAAAATTTAATATTAAACTTTTAAAATTATTGAATAGTATAAACTTCTCGATATTTACTAAAATAGTAAGGAATTTAAGCCCTAGAACCGATTACTGTATTGGCGGACTAATACTACAGCCTGGTTGACCGCCAAGTGCAAGCGAAAACATGTTGAGGTCAGCTAGTAAGAAACTCGTTAATCGAGGGATTGCTCGTTAACCGAAGTTAAGAATCTTATGGGAGGTAACTCGTTAACCGAGGCGCTCTTTAACTGAGGGATCACTGTGTGTGTGTGTATGTATATATATATATATATATATATATATATATATATATATATATATATATATATATATATATATATATATATATATATATATATATATATATATATATATATATATATATATACAGTACTGTATTTTTTTTTCATTATATAGTACTACCAATCCTGAGACTAACATACCAAATAATATGCATATTAAGTTCAATGATAAACAGCTACTGATACATGCCATAACATTAAGATCACATTCCATAGTTGGCATGATTACTTGCCACTCTTTATAGCAGTAACATTATGTCTCATATTTAGTAATAAATAAGATTGGGCTGATCTTTACTTATTACGTTGTGAAAAGCAGTAAAACATTCTAGCATTAAAACTTATAGACAACTACAGGTATAAAAAAACCTGCCAAACAGCAATTCAAGGACTCATCCAGTTCTTCAGTGTGAAGAAATCAAACTTTAGATTTATGTTTACATATCTGGCAAGATTGTGTGTATAGTTTAATGATACTATAATGTATAACTTAGCTGACTGTGACATATAGAAATGAAGTTCAGGTATTCTATATATGTTTGGATTATTTTGAAAATTTTGTTGGACAGAATAGAAACAGGTTCAACAAATATATGGCCAGAGAAAAAACAAATAATCAAGAAAAAATAGAGAACTGACTAGTATCAAAACCCCCACACACAGTGTGGAGGATGAGGATATCCATATACATAACAAGCTAGAGATTTAAAGACATTAAAGGTTTAGCAGTACTGTACAGTTCAAAGATGCATACATCATTTTCACTCCAAAGAACACAAGTGTAAAATTAAGAGCAAGTAAACACTCACAACATGGACCCAGTCTTTCTGTCCTTCACCACCAGGAAGGTTAAACTTGTACGGTGAGATGTTGATCAAGGAACTCACATGGCCATGATAAGCACTGTGGAGGAATTAACATCACTGGGATGGCTGATACAGACAAAAGTCAATGTTTAAACAAGTTAATGATACTACAAAACATACTCATATTTCCATAAGAGAGCTTCCAGTATGTAAGTCTTATGTGACACTTCCCATAACACAGTTGGTAAGTTTTATTATAATGATAATCTCACAATAAATATTCTAGGTATATCACATTATAAAATGTCAAAATATGAATCACTACAGTATACTAATTTAGGAAAGAACAAAAACAGTAAATTTGGATTTGGATTCGAGTAAGATATCTCTGACAACTCTCCTGTTTAGTCTGTAATGTAACAATTGGTTCCACAGAGTCGTTCGTTAACCGAATCTATTATTTCAATGGGATATTGGGTAATTGGTTCCAACTCACAGAAAAAGTACATACAAAGTACTGTATAGCAGTAATAGAATTAACAAAACATTAAATGTAAATTAAATACAGTACTGTACTGTACAGTACATTGTATAATAATAAATAAAAAACAATAGAATACTATATTTTAACTTACTTTGAGGTGTGTATTGTGAAATTTAGTTAATATATTGATAATATACAGTGTAGAAATTATTATGAAACATGAAGAAGGCATTAGAACCAATGCACTCTGTAAAGACTGCCTCTACAATCACCTGTTTGATATGTAAACAAAGCTGCCGGTAATACGACATACACACCTCAAAGTAAATTAAAATACAGTACAGTATTCTATTTTTTTTATCTATTATTGTACAGTATACTGTACAGTACAGTACTGTATTTAGTTTATATTTAATGTTTTGTTAATTCTATTACTGATATACAGTACTTTGTGTGTACTTTTTCTGTGAGTTGGAACCAATTACCCAATATCCCATTGAAATAATAGATTCAATTAAAGAATGACTCTGGAAAGAATTGTGTCTGTTAACCGAGGGACCAGTGTGTGTGTGTGTGTGTGTGTGTGTGTGTGTAAATAAATTTAAACTCACTGGTCTAAAGTGATAATATCCTTGTGGCCCGTGTATGTACTTGCAAGACGTAATGCCAGGTCATTAGCTTCACTGCCCGAATTCACAAAGTAGCACATACTCAGTTGTTTTGGAAAGAGTGAAGTTAACCTGAAGATATAAATAAATATTCAGATGTTAATTTTCATATAATGTAGTACTCCTGTGGGATTATTTTTTAATAACAATTATCTGTAAACATATTGTCCATGTCTTGAGAATTCATCAGAATATTTTTTCAGGATTAACTACAGGGAAACTAAACATCAAAATAACTCAAATATCATGTTCCTAAATATGAAAATGATCCTGTAATCCATAGTATAAATCAGCCTAAATATGCTCATTGTAATCTAAGAGGTTTAGGAACTAAGGAAGACCCTAAACCATGATGGCTGGGGTATAATATGAAAATTACCCTTCTTCCCCTTAACACTCGCCCTGCAAAAGGAATTAGCAAGAAGCCATAATTACCCATAGACTGAAATCTTTTGAGTAAGAACATTGCACAGTACATATACAAGGCATTCAGCTCTGGCTCAACCATAAATTGAGATATCCAACCACTTCACTTCCTGCCAACCCCAGCTGAAGACCTGAAGTAGGAGGAGTTCTATTCAGGCCCTTGTGTAAGGGTCTCTCTGTTTGCTTAATAAAATAGCCTGGCATTAGCCAAATAAAATATTAAGTGTGTACCAGTGGTGAAGGGGTTAATAACCCTACAACTCTCTCTTGTAGAAACTCTGAGACACAATTTCCTGTTCCAATATGTTAAAGATCTCATCATAACTAATGAGGAGGGTATGGTGGTCAAAAAAGAAAAATTTTCCCCTATCGGGACCAGCCATCATGTGATGCTGTCCTTCAGATTTAACTGTTACTCAATACATGATGAGAGCAGGCCAAGGTTCAAATATTACAAAAGTGATTACTTCAGGATGAGGGAGGAAATTAGGAGTATTCACTGACCTGACCTTTTGAAAAACAAGAATGCAGATACAGTACAGTACCTGTACTGTTATAAATAAAATCGACAATAAAGTGAACTACCTGTATATCAATGCAATTATATACCCAAGACCAGAGTCACTGGCTCTAGGACTACTAAGAGACTGTTACCATGTGGCAATTGATGACGTAAAAAAAGAAGAAAAATTCAGAATTTCAAAAGACAGGTCACGACAAGTGATGAGGCAAGCCATATCATAGTATAGTATAGAAGGACTGAACAAAGTTTCAGAGGCAGATTGCCAATGAGGCAAAGTCAAACCCTGAGGCTTTCTACTTTGTGTGGTGAACATCTTGACCTTTCCAAATACTAAACACAAGATACCAGGAACCATCACACAATCCAATTTCACTTTCAGGAATGTAAAGATTATTAAAGCATGATGAAACCAGAACCCCTCTAACCTCAATTCTTGTTTGGACCTATTCTACCAAGGAAAAAAGAATCATTGATTATATCAGTGGCATAACTGGGCCCATCTGATATGCAAAGTCCAAAAAGTGAACTTTAAGCCATCCAGAAATATTAATGCAGTATCTCAAGATAACTAATATGACAGCACAGCATAACAGATGAAATTATAACTAAGCAACATTGAACTGGCAAGTGAACAGCAATGTCCTCTGAAGTGCCTTCCTGGGAACAAAGCCTTAGTCATTCATACCTGCATTATCTGCAGGATGCAAAAGAGTGGCCCTACTGTTACAACATATCTAACAGTTGATGGATGTCAAGGGATCATCCCTGTTCAACACACCAGAACAGAAAAGTTACACAGAAACCCGTAAAAGATGATCCTATGTAAAGGCCAAATCAACTTCACAGGCAGAGTAATGAGCCACCTAGAATGATGTTTATCCAGCCACACTCCCCAGACTTTACTTTACTTTAATATCTTCACCACTGATCAGTCTGTTAGCCATTTGAGGCATCAGTTACATCTCTATTATGCACTGTTGGCAAGTATGAACTGGTTCCAGAATGAATCTGAGCCTGTGCCAATGCTGGCCAAGAGTTTACAACTCTCACTCCAAAAAAGTTTGCCCTCACAATTTTCTGAACCTGTGGCTTCTGCAACCCTAGACTGTGACCCCTAGAGGGCAGGTATCTGCCAGTTCCAGGTATGAACACTCAACTGAGTAATGTCCTCTGGGATGCTTAGAAACCTCTATTAAGTCACCCCACCCCTTACCGTACCCATCTAAAGTACAAACAGACAACTGCAGACATTCTAATCTCTCTGGGTACATACCTATGGTACCCAAGTACTTCACAGCAGGGTGGGTCCCTAAAAACCCAAGATACAATTTGTCAAAAAACTGCACAGATATAAGCAACACTGGGTTACACACCAGGGATTGAGTACACACTCTGGACTGATGGCTGAAAGTGGGGTGATTATGCATCCCAGTTTATTAAGGAGCCAGAGATAAATGGATCATGCATGCCATGTGAAGTTCCGACTTAAAAACTACCAGTCCACAGGCAACTATAACTTGAATCTTACCCCTTTTCAAGAACTGTTGTTCCTGCAGGGAAGAAGGCTACTCTTTAGATTATGCCCCATCCATCATGTTCCAGTTTATTTTAACATCTTTTAATAATGTTGCTGTGCAATTTTTAGTAGCCTGTATATATCTAAATTAAATGTATACAGTATCACTAAGACCTTTTAGCATAGAGGACTAGGTTGTCGTGTAGAAACCTGCTATTGGTATTGAGGACTGCCATCTGTTGCATGCCAGCTGACACAACATATGGGTGACAGTGGCCCACTGAAATGAAAAACACACTTCATTTACTGTACATTCGTACAACTGTCAACCCAAATATTTTAGTATTAAAAAAATAATAAATAAATAAATAAACTTCATCTTAAGTAAATTTCTGGAGATTAAATTAATGTTGCACATGATTATATTATACTGCAAAATCAAGGGCGGCTCGAGGGGGGGTCTGGACCCCTTTTCCCTTTCACTAGAAAATTCCAATACCTTTTCTTTAATGCAGTATTGTACTCAGGCAATTTTTTTATATTAACAAGTATTTACTATTGCTTCAGAATATCTCCTAATATCAAGAGCTCATGGCTTCAAAATGGCCTCAAAATGCCTAAGATCTTGGTACAGCTGGGTGAGCTCGTTGCGCTCGCCATGTGATAATTATCCTCGAATACATACCCTACTGTATAAGTAAACTCTTCCCTTCATATCAATTACAGTATTTTAGTATAAGACCTTTAATTAAATAGTAATTGACATGAGTTACTTTTACACTACACAAATATTAGGCCAACTTTATAAAAACAATTGCAAATAATCTATTACTAAGAAAAATAAGTTTGGAAAAATGGCAAACAGAAAACATCTCAAAATGTAACAATATTCTGTATAGCACAATAACAAAACTGGCATAAAAAAAAAAAATAAAAAGAATATTATATATATATATATATATACATGTCCAAACCATCCCAACCTGCCTCTATGCAGGACTTTACCAATACTGTACAGTACAGTACAGTACAGTACTGTACTGTACTCTCAATACTTAGCCACCCTCTTAGCTCTGAGCAGAGCCTCCTGCCTTTCAGTGTCACATTAAACATTCACCTCAGCATTTTCATTTCAGCTTGGTCAAGATTACTTATGCCATATCCCTTAAACTGCCCATGTTTCACCGCTATTCAAAATCACACTTCTCAAACCCGCTGCATATATTCTTCCTTTCATGCAGAGGGAAGGTCCTCTTGTTCTCAATAAAGGCAGCAGCTTTCTCAACATCTTCCAGCCACTTCTGACTCTTGCAAATGAGCAGGCTTCAGCACCAGCACAGATCATGTCACCCAGGTAACAGGACTCATCGACAGTGTCCAGGGACATAAATATACTGTAGTTACGGGCTATAAAAATATTTCATGTGGATATTCTTGTTAAACACGAGTCATAAAAATTTGCAGAATTTTAAATATGAATATGAACTGTACTACTTTGTATAATTCCTTAATCCATATTGAAGTTTGTTTACTAAATTCACTAGGATACAGTACACTCCACACACATTACTTAAAGACACTCTAGACTCACCATGACAAACATTGTTGATACAGTCTAGATATCTATGACCATTTTCATCATACATGTAGCTTCCGGAGGCCCGCACAATTTTAAGGGGGTCACTCTTGAAGAACAGTTTACATGATGGTCTGCAAAATAAGAAAACAGTTAATAGGACTGGGAACTAACAAAGACTGAATACAAAACATTTAAAGTTTAGCTGTAAATAAGAAAAATTTTAAAGTCTAAGAAGCCTCAAAAGTCCTGAGAGACATCCCACTGCCAGTCATCTCTCAGGTAAAGTGTATGTCTTGAGCAGAGGAGATACCAGCAGCATCCAAGTATGTACTGTACACTACGGTAACACGTGTAGTGAAAAGCAATGCTTACCATCCCAGTCGAATCCATACAAATTCAGCGATCTCATAAAAATGAGGAGCACATCTGGTAAGAGGCTTACCTTTGCAGATCATATGATTGGTCTTCACCCAAAACTGTACAGGGGAAGTTCATAATTCTACCCGTTCCACCTTTTTATCCAAGTTGTTGAGACTTTCCAGCAGTAGTGGTCCCACAGCCTTACCTACATGAAAAAGCTGTTCTTATACTATTCAATCTTTGTCCACTGTTAAAACAGAGTTCAGGTTTTCACAACAGTTTTTAGTAAATGCTTGATGCCTTGTTCTATAAGACGAATTTGTTTGTGTTTGGGCAACCATTCATACTGCCGTCCATCAATGTGCAACTTCTTAGTTATTTAAGTCTTTGCACACCAAGGTAGTTGGCTTCTCTGATAATGTAAAGGATGCACCTAGGTCATACCAATAGTAAGGAGGCATATCACATGTCCAAAAGGAATGAAGAAACATCATTAACCAAGACCAAATGTGAAAAAGACCTGGGTGTGTATGTTGACAATGAAATGAACTTCTTGAACAATTGTAAGAAGAGAAATTAAGCAAATAAGCTACTAGGCCTTTTATGGAGGTCGTTCATGTACACCATAGCTACCCAAAATGGCCTGTCACTCACAAAGCTCTTCAAAGGTGAGGTGCTTCCTTGTTTGAACTATGTACAGTACTGTCATTCCATCTGGTCCACAAGATACGCTAGAGACTGTTAGTTGATCTAAAATGCTCAAAATAGAGCCACCAGACTGGTGCCAGGCCTGCACTGCAGCACTTCAGATACTCAAGAGAGGTTAGAGCACTTGTACAGTAGTTGCTAAACTAAACTGTATTACAGGTGGGCAAGGGGTGATTTAATCCCTTCAATAATGGATGCCACTTTCAGTATATTATTTGGATTACTGTATTAATAAAATTCCTCCACTATTCCCTTCATTATTGGATGCCACTTTTAATATTTTGTTTGGCTAATGCCAGACAATTTTATTCAGCAACGAGAGACCCCTGTTACCCTAGGGGTTAATAAAAGTCTATCAGCACCCCAGAGGACATTAATCAGTCATGTGTTCATTCCAGTGGATACCCCTCATCTCTTCTCTCATCCTGTTGCAATTTCCCTTGTAATATTTGCACCTTGGCCTGGCCTTATCCTGAACTAGGTAACAGTTAAATATGAATGACAACACTATATAGTGACTGGTGCCAACTGGGGCAAGGTGTTCCAGTTTGGCCACCATACCCTCCTCGTTTGTTATTCTGAGGTCTAGTGGCTTGGGTGTTTGCTACCCTCTATAATGTGTCGGGTCTCTTAACATGTTGGAACAGAAAATTATCTCTCAAATTTATTGACAAAGCTTTGAGTACCGTTTGCCTATTCTGAGTAATTCAATCAGGTCTTGACACTGAGTGTGGTATCACTTCTCACTGCCACGCAGGACAGAGGTTCGTGCACAAAGAAATACATCATATTCATTAGCAGTATATATAGGTCAGGGTCAAGTGGGTGATATCACTGTTCGCTGCCATGCAGGACAGAGGATTATCCATACTTGGGAAATTATTTTATCTGTTGGCTCCTTTATGTTGTTGTTATTTCCGAGTGGTCAAAATGTAAACACATGATATTTTCATACCTTTTTAAAATCACGAAATTAAACATAATAATAATAAGTAATCCTGTGAAGAAGAGCAATAATTTTAGCTTTATATTTTAATTAAAAATTTGTTTATTTTTATAACTATTTGTAGTATCAATTATAGATCTTGAGTTGACTCCGGAATGTTAGCATATGAATGGTGAGTGCAAACAGACGGTCTGTACCGTTTGATAAACAGCCAACACCAACGCCGATGATTCGTGAAAGAAGAAATGTGTTGTGTCTGTGCCTTTCATCACCATGCACAGTTAGGAATGTGGTGATGCAATTGTGTACACCTTTACCTAAAAGCTGCATTTGATATTGCCAATAGGCAACTGATATTGTACGAACTAGCCAAAATGGATATAGGAGGTAGGCTGTTACACTGGATAAGTGGTTACCTAACCAACAGAAGGGCTGCTGCACTGTTTCAGGGTTACAAAAGTGAAGTTAAAGATATGCAACTTGGTACCCCTCAAGGTGGAGTACTTAGCCCCACTTTGTTCAATGTTCTTATGAATGCATTATTAAATTTAATACCAGACAACCCCAGCAATATCTCAATCAGCTATGCTGATGATATTCTTATACATACTAAAACTCATCGTGAAATGCAAACCACCCTGAACCATGTATACGCAGCCTGTGAACACCTCGGTCTTATTATCTCCACTGACAAAACTAAGGTGTTCAACAAACAAGCTGGTAACCGCAAACGCGGCCCCGCCAAGTTCAAGATAGGTAACAACACTATTGACTATGTTTCTTCTTTTAAATATCTTGGTGTTTCCGTCCCTTGTACCCTACCTGCCATACAACAGCTAACCCGCCAATGTACTGACAGACTGAGACCTCTTAGAAGTGTAGCGGGGTACAGCCCGCACTATGGTGCTAATATTAGAATTGTTAAAACAATGTACCTAGGCTATATAAGATCTCTGATAGATTACCACGCACCAGCCCTGGTCATTCGTGACGGGAAAGGCGTTGACAAGCTCGAGAAAATGCAAAATAAAGCCCTCAGAATTATCCTAGGATGTCCCATGAGCACTAAAGTACTTAATATGAGGAAAGAACTAGGTATACCCAGTGTTAAAGATAGAATAATTGAAGTCAACCTCATGATAGCCCTGAGGCTTCTGCGTGGTGATCCTGATAACATTGTTTCCTTAAAATTGCTAGAATGTATGAACCATGGGACTACTGAGTCTAAATGGATCCAAACTACAGCTACACATATGAAGATGTTTGGACTAGACCACCTGTACAAAGTTGAGACACAACAGCGCTTCCTGCCACCCTGGTGGACAGTTCCCTTCGGTATCACAATACCGACGTATCCGCCTAAAAAATTAATTATACAAAGCATTTATCTCCAACACACTGCCAAATTGAGAGGTCTTGAACACATACACACTCCACAGACTGATGATAATATCACACAGACCATCTACACTGATGGATCTCTAAACACCGCCTGTGGGAGGGCTGGAAGTGCTATTGTTGTGACTCAACCTGACGGTAATATAATTGAGAAAGGAGTTAGAATTAACAACTGGGCATCCACTCTACAAACTGAATTAGTTGCCATACTCACAGCTATTAAATTCATTGAAACCACTGTTACTGACAGTCTCATCATCACTGACTCTCTATCCTCACTACTTGCCCTTGGTACCCTCGACTCAGGTTGTCACGCTCTTGTCTCTGAAGCCAGACACAAATATGCGTGCCTTGTTGACCGGGGTGTCAGGGTCAAACTGTTGTGGATCCCCTCTCACATAGGCCTCATAAAACATGACAGAGTTGATGCCCTCGCCAAACTCGCGTCTAACAAAGACACCGTTGAATACAATTTGGGTCTGTCAAAAAGAACCCTTAAAACTGTAATTAGGAAAGAACTTATTGATGAGTTTGACGCAAGTAGACAAGTGCAAACAGGCACTAGTCGATCCATAGGTTACCATGATGAGATGTATCAAGTGAAACATGTATATGGAGCAAGTAACAAGATCACTAGATTACAAGATGTTGTAACCGCTAGATTAAGGTTAGGATATAAGTACCTTTGGCAGTATGTTCCTCAAGCAGATGTAAACAAAACTAAATGTAAAGTGTGTGGCCATACATATGGCCACACACTTGAACACTACGTCCTCGACTGTGTGAAGATAGAACCTTTTAGGGACAGGTCCAAGCACACTGTGTGTGAAATGGCACAACACTTCATCTCTAATGGCAAGATAGCCGACATATTAAGATTGTATCCACTTTTTTGCACTTAGTAACTATATCAATTCTCATGTACAGAACCAAATACGCAATGTGCTTGAATACCTCCCACGTAAATGTGAATAACAAAGTGTGAGGCCAGACATACTGCCTCACACGCCTGTTCTCACGCATTTGTGAATAAGTTACCCTTATGTATAGAACTAAACAAATAATGTAAATGAAATACTGTGTAACTTTCAGTGCCATAATATCCTGACAACGGGGGTTAATTATTATGACCCTTTGTAAACTCTACTCTGTAATCCTTTTGCGCTACCGCTCACAGGATGAGTGTGGGGTACACAATAAAGTAGCCGCTGCAAGCGGCAAAATCAATCGTGAAAGAAGTCAACAGTAATGAAAAAGTTGACAATAGTAATGCTAGTCTGACGACGCCTTAAGCATTCTACAGTAAGCGCCTAATACAATAATTATATGATTCAGAGAAAGAGTGGTAAGGAAAAGTGTACCCAAGATACTATTACTCCTGAAGAAATCAATATAGACATTAAAGTCAAATAAATAATCGACGAGCTTAAGAGTTAGTTTAACTTAATTTTCTAAAATCTACATTTCCACTGTCCTATTTTCTGCGCTTATACTTATTTACTTCATGGTCACTTGCATGGCCTAGTAACTTCAATATTTAATTCAGCATTGATATTTTTTTATCTAAATTTAAAATTGCCGAGCTGAAAGTAAACACTTTTTAGTCTTTGGGCAGTCCGTGGATGGCCTCGTCTCACACACAGGTCGATAACTAGTGAAGTGTGATTCTGACGACTGGTGGAAATCTCTTGTCTTGCGCTGGCCGGATTAGGGACGTTAGAATATTTAAACACACACACACACAGTCAGTTAGATATAAAATCAGATTGAAGGGCAGACCATGTTCCCCCCACCCACAACTTCTTGGACCCCCCTCTTTTAATAGACAACATGCTTTTACCTATAATAGTTTTATACAACTCCCATATGTACATAATTTTTCTAACATATATTATTTTATACCAACTCATACAAGAAAAGTAGTGATAGTCTTAAGTCACTACCTAGTACATAGGTCGAATAAAGCAGGCGAGGATATTATACGCGTTGGCACATTAGATAAATTCCTTATATCGAGGTTGGGAACAGCTGACTTCCTTGCCACATGTCGCCATGCGTGTATCACGGGGATTATGTCACATAAGGAACTAGAAAACTTTTTTTTGGGGGGGTCACCACATTTTCATTCCTTGGAGCTACCTTAGACTTTAATAATATACAGAACATAATGTTGCATCCCTCACACGTGACAACTAATATAATATTTCCTCGTAAATATTACAAGATTGGACGGTACTGGCTTTAACAAAGCCAACAATGGATTTACAAACAATTATCTTGTGCGTTCCACCTGGGGGTTTCATTACTCTCATCACTTCAGGGTGTTTATCATTCATTGGATCTACAATAAACACTCACTAATACATGACCATAATAAGTGAATAGAATTACACTAAATAAATAACGAGAAAAAAATCAATCACTTCACTAGGTTATCATTTGATGCACCATTGCTGGCTCTACTGTTACTTTACGTGGTGGGTATGTCAAACTTCACAATGAGAACAAAGCTGAGACATGCGACCCCACTACAAAACTGGGGGTCGGAGAAGTGGCAGTGTCAGGCGGGGAACAAACTAAATCAAGCAACATTGCTCTATATTTGCTCAGCCAAGGCATGTGACGTTAGCTCAAAGTGCAGGTAGGGGTCGATATGCTCCGAAATTGTACGTGTGACTAGTGGCAGTCCTCATATACCAAAATTTATAGTCTCACTGTTTCTCACAAATTATGCACATATTTGTTTTAGCTGCTGTACATACAGTACAACAAAGAATTTGAGTTTGCAGTACTGAGCCATATGAACTTCGAATAATTGTGCAGACGTATACCGAGTGTGCTTAGATCAAAACATTACTTTAAAAATAATTACACTTGGTTTCACATGTAAATAAACGAACAAATAAGCGGTTGGCAACAAATAACCTTCATGCCGGTGCCGCGGGTCGATCTCCCTCAACTCCAACCATACAGCTAAAAATATAGTTTACGGATTCCTAAATTGACCAATTCTTCGCCCATCTTGCTTTAAGAACATTAATATAATTGCTTTCAAGTTAAACAACAAAACTAAATGTGGAGGGAAGAATAAACTGGAGTAATAAATAATTTTTTTTAGGGTTTCTAACCAATTTTTGCCCAAATTAGTTCCTCTGGAGACCAATGTGGCAAATACTGTACTTAGGGTGACCCCAATTCTTCTCTCTCGCCTGACGGTTTCCTGATACAGTAATTACTAAAATATAGACTTTAAATAATAAATACTTCCGTCAATATACCACTCTAAAATATCTTTGGGGTGTTTTCTGTTTGATAACCAAAAAAAAATTAATAAAAATAGACAATACTCTGACGTAGTTTTATATTCTAATTTCGAAAATATCTATACTTTTGGAGAGTAAAAGGTACTGAAAATAAAAAAAGGTATTTAGGGCTCTGAATAGTGGAAGAGGCTAGTCATTATGATGTTTTCGAAAGTGAATCTTAAGGTTTTTATAGGCTAGGAGAGGTAATTATGCATGGTTTTCAAAGGTTTGTTTGGTATTTCTCCAAAAGATATTAATATTTTAGAATTTTGAATGTAACACTACACGAGTGTGTTTTTATTATAAAAAAAATGACGTTCATCAAATAAAAAAAGATCCTATCTCTACACTAGAAGCATGAGGATCATCATCCAGGCTTATTCATAAAAAATTTGGCACAATTACAATAATAATCAATTCTCATGAAAATAGCGCAAGTTTATATGACTGGCTCATCTCTATTATGACGTATAACAATCTCAAAGGCGATGTTTCTGGTCAAAAAGTGGGTTTCCCGGCTTAAAATGTTTCATCGTCATTTCAGTGACTTCAGAGGGTTCGGAAATCCTGTCACAAACTCAACTTCTTGACGACACACGTTCCTCTTCAACCTCTACTACTCTGCGGCCCCTGTCCAGATGATTTTGGCTGATTAAGCAAGACTTTCAATACTTAAGTGGAATGTTACCACTAATTTAGGAAAATGTTGGCAATGTCCAAGTAAAATATTGTCCATATATAAATGGATAAACAATCATATAAATGGATAAAGAATCTTATTCGACTTGGAAGGAACTTTGATAAATCTAGTTTTGGTGACAATTGCATTCAACGAATTAGCTAATATACTAGACATGATGCTGGTGGTCAATATAACAAACACTATACCTTTGTGACTTTACTAAACATTATTTACAAACAGTTGACCTGTGTCGATATCAGTACACATCTTCCATTCACAATTCGCACCTAGTTCGATACTCACAGATAGCGATAAAGTTTATTATGAGACTACATTCTTTACAGTAAAAGTTTGTTACTCGGTAAAGAAAAAGAAGGTCAATTTAATTTATGCAAGAGTAAAGAACTACCGAACACAATCATCATGGAACTTAAAATTGGTGTTGATTGTAACACTCAAAATTAGGCGATGAGGTGTGCATGCAATGCCAACGAAAAATCTTAGATATATTTACAAACTTTTTAAAACACATAATGGAGTAAGATTTGATATACTGCGTGTACACATATACAGTATTTCATTTTTCGACTATCGATACGATCACACTACTGACCCCGCGTCTACATGACAAATGATGCCAAGTTATTTATTGCCAATATTTTTAATGTAATTATAATGTAATTATCGTGTCTATTTGTTCGCCACACTGCTTTTCTTAATAATTGTTAGTTATGCGGATAAAAACAAAAAAAAACAAGTAACGTTTTGTGCCGAACAGAGATGCTGACTGGCAGCTTCCCTCGTAGGCTTGGATCAACGTTGTTGCTCATTATGAGAATGTCAGGGAGTAAATCAATAATTAGTAACTTACCCAATGTGCTTCTTTCTCAGTTCTATCGTCTCTTGCTTCGTAAGCCTTTGCTTCTCGGACATCTTGACACACTCTTGGCGAATTCCTCCAACTACGTGTTACCGCTTGGGAAGCAGCGTAATAACTAGCTCCATTTCTATCTGGCAGCCCGTATTTGTGGGCACATGCGCACCTCGCTCATCATAGTACGCGTCTTCCTATTGGTGGTGATAGCGGGCTCAACTGCTGTGACTCGTAAAAGGGACGATGACTGGTATAAAATCAGTTGCCACGACAAGGGCGGGGAATACAATTATCACTGACCCTGTCATTGCCGGGGGTAATGAAAGCAAAAGCATCATATTTCAGTCTAATCAGCAGATATGAGGCTGTAAAATGTTAGCATGAGAACTGAAAACAAATGTGATAGATTGCAAAGTATTGCAAACTAAGTAATATTATAGAGTTGTTCCTTGGTACATGTGGAATGCGAACAGTGAGTGAATAACGTGTGTATTTGTGTGTTCCTTGTACAGTATACAAACTGTATAAAACAGTATGAGTAGTGATTACCCACGTAGACGTAGCGCGCGCGTAATAATAATGGTAATAATAATATTATTATTATAATAATAATAATAATAATAATAATAATAATAATAACCATATTTGTTGCTGAGAATTGTGTATGTGAACACTGCTCTCTCTCAAATCACAAGTCACTGTATATGACAAAATAAAATAAGAACCATACGAATAACAGTTACAAAAGTATATTATCATTATTAGTAGAGTATAGGCTACCAAATAATTCCTAACTATGCAAACACATGTGGTGAAGCTAAGGAAGACACGAGTGAAACAGTCAAGACGTTGGTACGATATCCTCGTGAAGCACTACACTGCGAAACAATGACCCATTTCTCTTATGGGAGTGAGATACTGTACGCCCATTAATGGAATGTTCATTGGGTGGCAAGAGGTTCTGGTGTTTTGAAGTTAACTACACAGTGCTGCTCTATCAAACAGGCTTTTGTTGTTGGTCGAGTGTAATATGAATGGCATTCCAGTAACGTGTCACCACTTCCAAAAATAATTATATTTTCAAGTTTCTGTGTTTGTTGTTTTTTATTGAACCTTGGGTGACTCAGTATACTAATTGATGTTTAATGCAACTCATAAGCTATTTTAAATTGAATTATTACTGTATACACTTTGAGCGTTATTTAATTGCAAGTGTTTGGTACGTCATTAAAACTACATTGTGTGTATTACTCAAATTAGTACAGTAGGTTTATTGATATTAAGAAAGGAAACACTGCGGCCTAAACTTATCCCGTTTGGTTCTTTTCATAGTGTACTGCAGTGGTATTCAACCTTTTTTGATGTCGTCCATCCCTAGTGATGAAACTTAAAACGCCATTCACCCTAAGTGGTAACCTATTTTTGCTAAAAGAGAGAAAGAGAAAAAGAAAAGTTTCACTTGTATTATTTTACCATCTTGTATTGCAATATAATTTATTATTTAATTTTCCATTCAGAACAAAATTACTTTTTATTAAACTAAGTAAAGGAAATAAATAAAATAAAGAATCTTGAGTGAATTCTTTGGTGAATCAGTGGCTTGGCTGCTGTTATACTTTGTTATTAGCTGAAATTTTGGCATCAGGCGACTTTCGAGTGCGCCCAGCATGAAGGGATTCACATTCAAAATTGTGTTCCTTTTCTTTGATTTGATTGAAACTAAAGCTGAGAAGCCTTGTTCACACAGATATGATGTTATCCCTCAGTCGATCTCAACAGATTATGTACATGAGACTGCGCCTAGGGTACAGGTACCTATTAGGTACCTGTACCCTAGGCGCAGTCTCATGTACATAATCTGCCAATGTACTCCCATAGGTACTACCTATGGGAGAGCATTGGCAACCCTGAGCCTAGCCACACTGTTTGTAAACTTTGTGGCCAACCCGACTCTCACACCCTCTCTCACTACATCCTCACTTGCCTTATGACCTCCTCCTACAGGTCCTCAGCCGTGACCAACACCTCTTCCCTCCCAGACCAGATATCCCTCCTCCTAGTGACAGGCCTGGCACTTGGCATTATTAGGGACCTGCCACGCTTTGCCTTAAACAGATGAAATGTACCGGGAACTTTACCCCCACACATTCATCATTCTGTCACTTTATGTAACTTGCTAACAAAACCTATGACCCTTCAGGCTTCTACGTCCTTAATGAACGAGTCATAAAGGCAAGCATGAACTTAGCATGTTTCCCAGATGGGCGCTGTAAACGCTTCTGCGCTTCATCTTGCACAGGATGTAAAGGGGTGCCCGATAAACTAGCCCCCTCGAGGACAATCTAAAAAAAAAGAAGATATGATGTTGGCATTTTCACGATCACGGTTGTCGCCTGCTCGGCCAACTCCTTCTTTTCTGGAATATCCAGCAATGTAACCCAGAAATCCATGGTGCTGCTTTTTTAGTGTAATCTGTCCGGAGTTCCAATAGAGCTTCAGAATGGTTAACCCCATTTTTAGCAAATGTATTAAGAACCCACATGTTGGAGTCAGGTGTTTGCTCTCACCCTCTGGGAAATACACATTAACGTTTTCCTGAATCAAGGTAAGGTGAATGACCACCAGACCAATGTCTCCTCTTCTGCTGCCTGCACCCCGTGTTGCCAGCCACATTTTCTTATAAAGTTATCAAAAGTCGGGAAATAAGACAAATTGTTCTTTTCTATGTTGGCTCTCCACTTTTGCACCTTCAGTTTGAATCCATTTATTTTTCCCACTGCTGTGAAAATATCCCGACCTTTGCCTTGGAAACTGATGTTGAGTTTGTTCAAATGATAAAAAGCTGAGGCCTTGTATTGTGGGGTACGGGTTGTTTGGGTTCGCACTCAGGATGGGATGGAGAAAGGAAACTCACGATGTGCTCTCTGTATGCATGTTGTATTGGATGTACAATGCAGCTTGGTGGCTGGTGCTGGGAGGAGGCAGCGTGGTTACAAGCGTGAGTAGGGAGAGCTGGTTGGTGAGGGTGCTCAGAGGAGGACCAGCTTGTGGGTCGCCATGCTGGCCGGCGGGAGCGAGGGCCGCCAGGCAGGAGCGGTGGAGGTGGTGTTACTTGAGGACTGGCTGTAGGTAGAAAGAGAGGTTGGTCACCATGAGGTCAGGTCTTATATAGCGGAGGTAGGCGTGGCTTAATAGTTGACCTCTGTGATGTATGGCGGCGCTGGTTGACCTAGACCACGAGGCATACACTGGGGAATTCGCGGGGTCAGCTACTCAGCGAGAAGCGTTTGTAGGGAAGGAATCCACTACAATACTCCCCCTTCCCTCCAGGCAGTGTAGGAGACTTGTCTGCAGGGTTGCATGGCACATGTGAGGCAAAACGGGTGGTGCATGCCACATGTGGTATATAACGGCAAGGGCGTGGATGAGCCGGCCGCTAGGGGGTGGGGGAACTCTGTCTAGATACACGAGATCTGTGGGAGAAAAGAGAGAGGAGGAGGGTTGTGGAGGCGATGAATGTTGTGCTTCACTCGCGACAGGTACAAAGTCCTCAGATGCGCCTGCTGGGGTGTGTGGGCCTGGGTCAGGAGCAGGGGCTGTGTCAGCAGGAAGAGGGTCCATGACAGCAGCAGGGTGCAGGACAGTAGCAGGGGGTACCTGAGGGGGAAAAAAACGGGTGTGTGGGGCCGCACTCAGGCGCATGGGCCGTGTCGGGAGCAGGAACTGCCAGGCAGGAGCGGAGGAGGGTCGGCGTCAGGAGGAGGGTCCAGGACAGTGGCAGGGGGTACTACTGGGCCGGGGGCGGCGTCTGAGGCAGGACGGGTGTGTTGGGGTCGGTAGGACGTGGTGCTTGGGGCAGGAAGAGGAGCGGCTGTCTGCTTAGAGTAGCAGAGCTGCTCTAGGGTGTCTAACCTGCGGTGTAGAGACAGTAGCTGTAGAGCCGATGAGAGCTGCCTCTGCGTGGGTAAGCCAATCTTCCATGTTGCTTGAAGACTGGGAGAGTGATCAGTTTCTCCTCCATCCTGTGTGAGTGCGAATCTCCGGGGGTCACCATTTGTGGGATACGAGATATTTTGTTCTCCATCCTGTGTGAGTGCAAATCTCCGGGGGTCACCATTTGTGGGGTACGGGTTGTTTGGGTTCGCACTTAGGATGGGATGGAGAAAGGAAACTCACAATGTGCTCTCTGTATACATGTTGTATTGGATGTACAATGCAACTTGGTGGCTGGTGCTGGGAGGAGGCAGCGTGGTTACAAGCGTGAGTAAGGAGAGCTGGTTGGTGAGGGTGCTCAGAGGAGGACCAGCTTGTGGGTCGCCATGCTCGCCGGCTGGAGCGAGGCCGCCAGGCAGGAGCGGTGGAGGTGGTGTTACTTGAGGACTGGCTGTAGGTAGAAAGAGAGGTTGGTCACCACGAGGTCAGGTCTTATATAGCGGAGGTAGGCGTGGCTTAATAGTTGACCTCCGTGATGTATGGCGGCGCTGGTTGACCTAGACCACGAGGCATACACTGGGGAATTCGTGGGGTCGGCTACTCAGCGACAAGCGTTTGTAGGGGAGGAATCCACTACAGTATGACAACGTTGCCAGCCAAAAGCTATCCTGACATTTAACTGCCATGGGGTTTGCTTCCTGTGAAGAAAACATACAACTGTTCTCTCAGTGCAAACACTCAGTTCAGAACCTTCCCACGGGATAACCACCACACCTCGGCATGAAAGAGCAGTTTGGTGAAGTTGCCTTCCATATCTTTGCACAACCCACCGAACATTCTGAGCTTTATTGCATGGGTCAGGATACAATTCACCATTTTGACGATATCATCGAAAAGGAGCTCAAAATCATTATTTTCGCTGGCTCTTCCAGTCCCTTTCAGCCGCTTAGCAACAATTAAGGGCTTCTCTGTGAATCACACGGTGAATTGAAACAGCTAGGTGATACAGCTTGGATTTTCGCCGCAACACCATTGCCCTCGCATCATCTGTAGCGACGGATTTTTATTTCGGCCATTCAATGTCCCATTCAATCATAAAATAATTCAGTTTCTGGAAAATATTCTCCGCTGTTGTTTCATCCCCCAATTGGAGGCAGCACAAATAGTGTTCAACTATGGTCTTACTCTAAATCAGTAAAGCGACAGTACACAATCA